TGGAGGAATGCTACAACCTTCCTCAAAGTTTCATGAAAACCAGGCCCCTAGCTTTTCTGTATTCTTTTTGACAGACAAACAAACCATACACACAGACCAACTGAGCTGAAAACGTAACCTCTTTTGGAGGAGGCAAAAAGTGACTTGCTCTCTGCGTTGGTGTGTGGATTGGCCTTATCATTAAATGGATGAAATGAATCTGATTAACACAAAACGGTGGGGGGTTGTGACCTCAATTCTTATCGTGTTTTCCATTCTCTTCATGTTATCTCCATGCGCTCTTCATTACCCCACTTTGCTGCAACACATCTCGAGACGAGAAGACGAATAATGTTTCCGTGCAACACGGACACTATTGTTGCCACAGTGTTGCTGCCACACAGTGCCGTTGCCTGGGAGACGTTTACCTCACCACCATGGCTTTAGGCTTTAGGTCTACGGGTGATGGATGAGGGCAGGAGGTATCTGCTTACCCAGGTAAAATTACCTCGCTCATCAAAGTGTGTGTGTGTGGTGAATGATGTCTGCGGGGAACATTGTGAGGTTGCATTAAACTTTCACACTCCTCCCTCTCTCTGCTTCGCCCTCCACCCGCTGCCTCCATCCTGTCACACTGTATTAAAGTGGCGCTGAGTTGTGGCCTGTAATAGAGCTAAGGCGGTATTCAGTGTTCTCCATGTAATGAGATGTTTGCTCTTCAATTACTCCGCTGAGTCTGTAATCTGCATTATAGTTTGTGAATCTACACACCCTGACTGTGTTTTGTGATGTGGCAACCACACCCACACACAGATAGAGAGACATGCAGAGAGAAGAAAAATCAAGGAACCATTATGAACAGATTTACAAGGCCAGCCTTTAAAAGTATTCTCACACACACACACACACACACACACACACACACACACACACACACACACACACACACACACACACACACACACACACACACACACACACACACACACACACACACACACACACACACACACACACACACACACACACACACACGACACGACGACACGACGTAACACGTGGAATCCCAGGGATTGTGCAGAATGACCTAACCGCTCAAACAGCCAGCAGCAGAAGATGGGCTCGGCTGGACAAAGCAGGTAGTTGCGGGGGCTCTATATGCACTTCTGTGTGTGTGTGTGTGTGTGTGTGTGTGTGTGTGTGTGTGTGTGTGTGTGTGTGTGTGTGTGTGTGTGTGTGTGTGTGTGATTGGCGCCGCCCTAAGCCCGGCAATATGCTGCTGACACACAAACTAGATACCCTCTGATACAGGGTAGCACTCAGTCACACACACTCCCTCAGTAGCAGAATCTGGCATCCAGGCTGCCACGCACGCACACACGCACGCTGAAAAACCTTGACGCCAAACACACACACACACACTGATACACATACTCTGATGCACGGCTCGCAGGAATTCAGCAAATCAAAGAGTGTTAGTTTCTTTTATGGGAGAGAAATCTCTGTAAAATATGGCCGACAGTCAGTGATGGACTGCAGAGCTCTGGATCACGGAGGAGAAGATCTGAGCCAGTTCTGCAGGGAGGAGGACACGGCCAATGTAAACACAGCAACAAAGACATATTATAGTAAGAGTTGCATGACATTGCAACAGAAACAAGAAGGCTAACCAGAGGAGGATAGAGTCAGAGTTTCTCTTTCACTTCACTCACTGTTTTCTGTTGGAAGTCAAATTTCCCAAAAACAAAACAATTATTAATTTTACGTGAAGATCTTTTGATTGTACCTTGGCGAATTAAGAATTTAATTTATGCACCAGCACTTACAATGTTATTGCTTGTTTGAAGTGAATATGTCAGCACTGTTCTTGTTGTCCTTAGTTTGAATATTTATGGTTTATTGCACTTATTGTAAGTAGCTTAGGATAAAAGCGTCAGCTAAATGTAATGAAATGTAAGGTAATGTGATCTACCTAGACATTGGAAAAAAGATTGCAGTTTCTGAAATGGTTTCTTCAATATGTATTCAATATTTCCAATATGACTTTTTAATCAACGTGAGTGGCATCACAGGTGTAGATTTTGCATTATTGTAAAGTATTGTGTACAAGATCTGTTATCATTAGAACAAAGACAATACATTGTCTATTTTTTTGCTCCAGAATATAAAAAGGGGTACTACAATGTGAAGAAACAGAAACAGTCAGAATGAAGAAATTGGATGCATTTAATTAGTACAGTATACTGATTAGCAAATAAGTGATGATTTCAGATGTAGCTTACATGAGTGGTTCTCCACCCTTTTTTGGCTCATGACCCCATCCAAAGAAAAGCAGCTAGGGGGGGCCCATAGTTGACAACTTTGAGTTTTCAGCAATTACATTTCATACTTTAATTTCCCCTTTCTACTTTGAAAATACATTTATTTGTAGAAAATGGGGACAAAGCAATCATCTGCTGACCAATCCGACTTATCTTGTGACCCTTTGGAGGGGCCAAGCCTGTGTTTAGGGCCACTGGCTTATTTCAACATATTTAGGTGATGCAACCTGTTTCTAATGCAGCCACTGGTTCAGAGATTTTGTTCAAAGAATCAAGAGGGAACTGAAACTTTTTACATTACGACATTTTCCAGTATCACAATAGGACAAGTCACTGCTTGTTCAGATTGTGTCAAATAGAAACTTGATTGGGACTTTTGCTTTGTAAACCATTTGATTGGAACCCGTCAAGTCAAGGACTAAGTAGTCAGATAAAGGGCCTATGTGTTTAAGTACAGAATGTATCGGTACAGCAAGTGTCAGTTGTCTTTCACACATTTCTGCTTTGTCTCGTAAGGTTTTTAAAGTCACCCAGCGAGTTCAGGGAGAATGAAGCGAAGCAAGAGAAAAATGATTGGTGCATGAACCAATTGGTGGAAAACAGGCTTCCTATATCACTCTATCTGTAGTCTGTAACAGACAAAGTGTCAAAGGAAAAAGCAAGTGAATCCAAAACTAACAATTTGTTGACACTTACGGGTGAAACAGAGAGTCAGCTGTTCATGTTTGTGAACTAAGGAACAGATTGTTCTGTCACTAGATACAGTGTATGAAAACGTCAACGATGGCTGTATGAACACAAAGCACCTTCCACTTCTTTATGTTCTGGTTTCACTGATTCCTGATAAAAATACACATTTTAACCAATGGTAATCACATCTGCAGATACATAAGGTCAATCACCATCAATCAACAGCCAAACAAAAACAAAATAGTGAGAGTTATTAAAAGAAAACAATTGAAGGTCACTTGAATCTGCAGTGCCTGGCTTGGTGTTCATAATTATCTGGGAAAATGCCCAGAAATATATTTCCCACATGTTTTTACTATGAGCCTTTGACCACATCCTCTGCTGGGGAATTATTAGCCCTACTACTAGATAATGTTTGGTTTCAAATGGAGTCACTGTCTGCTACGCATCCAGTGTTCATAGTTCCCCAAAGAAGTAAACAAAAAATCGATGTAAGGCATAATAAGGGATCATGGAAGATGTTTTTAGGCGGAACGAGAACAAAAACCACAAAAGTCCAGAGACATAATCTGGATTTCCAAGAGTTGTTGGATAGTTACTACAGTAACACACACACACACACACACACACACACACACACACACACACACACACACACACACACACAATGACAGAGGAGAAAGGGATGGCTTTTGGGGTGGAACAAAAACAGGAAATGGGGACCGTGGGTAAGCTCTGTGCTGCCGACCAAGCAGACGCATCAGTAAACAGAAAGGGGGATTAAACCCCTGTGTCAGTCTACGTGTGTGTCACTTTGGCCATTTTAAACATGTCCAGACAGATGAACCCTGTTTCCATCTTAATCCAAAAGTCAACACATGTATCTGAAACATCATCACTATGCAGTCTTTGTCATTAGAGACAAAACAAGACAGAATTATACAGTGGAGTTTCCAAACAAGCAAACTGACCTCACCTCACCTAAACTGAACCTTATGAAGGAATATCCATCCTGACACAGACTTTGATGCAACTCTGATTAGAGACTGAAAAGGATGTCATTCATATCAGGCAGATTTTTCTGTAGATGATGGATTTAAGAAAAACCGTTCGCAATTTTACCAATAAACAAAATACCTTCCTGGATGGAAAGTTGCTGCAAGGTCAAATATTTTTTAAGTTAAAGGTGGGGTAGGTCATTTTGGAGAAACTAGCTCGAGTGCGCTAGAATTTGAAAATACACAACCGGAACAAATCTGCCACTTCCCTACAGAGCCCCTCCTCCAACACACATGAGGGCTCGAGATAAGTTTGTGCACAGATGGAAGGCTGACAGGCAGGTAGGCCATCCAGTTATTTTAGCCGGGCCGGCTCAAATGATTGGTCATGCTTTTTACAGTACTACAGCTTCCACAGAAGAAATTTTTGTATGGATTTTTTGTCAAAGCACTTTAGATATTCATTGCTATCGGGATGTTAAGAGCATTCCATGGAATATAACAAAAAGTGTATCTCGAGACGGTTTCACAAACTTACCTACCCCACGTTTAAGCTCACGTCTTAACTGTTTTTTTTATATTAAACCTATTTTGGCCACTTGGGGGCAGCACAAAAAGCTGTAAACACAAAACTGACATACAGTATAATATTATGAGAGACATATTAGCTAACGCTTGTTAGATATTGGGTAAATGTTCATTTTAAGTTTTTTTTTTGGATGACCTGAAACAGTGAAGTTGCTGACCATAAAATTAAAACAATGAGCTGAAAAGATATAATTGTGTAATATGAACAAAAATGGTCGTACCATAGTGACATTTTTTTCTCGAACTCAGCCTTTGATGGTTAAAAGAATATTGAAAACTTGCAAAAGTCTTGCTTGCATGGGGTTGGGGTTCTGTGGTCCATGACCTACATTCTCTTTCTTTGTGTCTTATCGTACTCACTGGATAAAAGCATCCGCCGAGCACCAAAACTAATATAAAAAGTATTAAGTCTTGACCAACTCACCTTTTGCAGGGTCTTGATTCTGAAGTCCTTGCTTGGCATCCGTCACACCAATTCCAGTTCGGTTCAGCCCATTACCGAGGCCCTTCTTCTTTCGGCTCCCTTTTAACCAACCAAAGGCCTGTCCCAGGGAGCTACCCGGCTTCTTCTGCCCACGCTGAACCTTCGCCTCCCGGGCTAAGATCTGAGTGACGTCACTGGGCACCAAGTCCCCTGTAGACCTCCTCCGGGACATCTTGGAGGTCGGTCCTGGGAGCTAAGACTCTGTACCTCGACCAGGACCAATGTGTCTTCTTTGGGAACAAGTCACAGGATCTGAAACCTCCCAGCTCTCATTGGTTTGATGAACCCCTCCGTCCCTCTTTGGCCTCACTCAGTGTCTCTGTTTTTCCTGTGTGTCACCACCTGGGACAACAATGAGATCAGCAGGATGAGAGAGAGAGAGGGCGAGATGGAAAGACACCAAAATAGGTTACAAATTCAACCCAGAGGGAGGACAGATTGAGATGAGATAGCAAGAATGAGATGAAAAAAAGCAGATTCATTAGAAAAGATTAAGTGGAATAATTCAAACTCACATAGGGTTGTTACAGAATAAAAAGGGAAAATTCCGAAGATACCAGCCAACATGTTAACAATGTATCAAGAGCATTCCCACATTGTCCTTCTAATGTTCCCCTCACATTCGGCCTCACTCCCCCTTTTCTATTCTCTCATTTCTGTGTATGTAGAACAGAAGCCCCTGGGAGGAAAGCTGGACCTCTGCAGAGTCTATGTGTGTGTTATTGTGTGTGTGTGTGTGTGTGTGTGTGTGTGTGTGTGTGTGTGTGTGTGTGTGTGTGTGTGTGACATGTGGTTCACATCAGCAGAATAGTGAGTATGGGTGAGTTGGAGACGAGAAAGAAGTTCAATTCAATAAAACTAGCAGTGGAAAAATCCCTGCACACAGAATTCCTATGTTTTACTTCTTTCAGACTAATTTAAAGAATGTAGATGAGTACATGCACTTCATCTGCTCTGAGTCACGTTAGAAAGCAATGAAAGAGTTTTGCTGTAAAACGGTCAGACAGTATATTACGGTATACAACTTACTCAGTGATCGAGAAGTCCTCTCCTTCGTTCCCCTCTTTTCTCTCAGCCTGAGAACAGCTTTTCCGAGCATGTGTGTGTGTGTTTAGCAGTGAATGAAGCTCCATGCTCTCTCAGCCCCTCCCTCTGTGTGAGAGCCAGCCTCTCCTCCCACCTCTCACAGTGTTGTTAGGATTTAGCCATACCGGTGCTTCTTCTTAAACAGTATTTCAGCTTTAGCATTGAGTTCTTTACAGAGGTCATTCAGAGTTACTTGTCCTCCTGTTGGCTTTTCCGTTTGTCTTTTTTGCTAGTCTCCTTTCCGAGGATCAGGTGCAGTCATCCCAGTCTCCCTCAGGAAGGGAACCCCTGGGTGACGAATCATCATAGTGGATAGGAAAGAAAAATACACCTTTTGCCAGTATATCTCCAGATAGATTACCTCCTTTGTGAGGACAGCAGGTGACTTTGCTTTTTCTCTTGAAGTTAGAACAATTGTAAAAAGCAAATCTCATGACAAAGTTTCCTGGAAAACTAGTGAGCAGTCCAGTGTTAGAAGCTCGTCTGGCAAAGGTGAAGAGGTTCAGCATTTTTATGCAGATGAGAAGGAGTGGCTCTTTCCTGTCACTGTGCAGCCAGGTGGAAACCCAACCCCCCCTTTTAAACATGACAGACAGACAGACAGACAGACGGACGGACAGACAGAAAGACAGACAGCAGACAGACAGACAGCAGACAGACAGACAGACAGACAGACAGACAGACAGACAGACAGACAGACAGACAGACAGACAGACAGACAGACAGACAGACAGACAGACAGACAGACAGACAGACAGCAGACAGGCAGACAGACAGCAGACAGGCAAACAGACAGACAGCAGACAGGTGAGGCGGGACACAAGGGGCCAGTTACCTTTAAGTGATGTCTAATTGTCGATCTCAAAATACAACATCTGTAACTGAACTTTAAAGTGAGTTTCAAATTACTCTGTGGTGAAGACAAAACAAGCTGACATCCCTGTATGGTTTGAATGTGGAGGAGAGTCACTGGGGTAAAAAAGGGGAAGCAGGAGTTAAAGGAGTTCATCTTAAGCTGCATTTACACCAAACCAGGAATTGTCGAGAATAGCGCAGTGTTGTTGGGCGGTGTGGGAGTGTTTCTAAAATGGTTTAACTAAAAGGGATTGAACAGCGATTTACATGTTTGTTCCTCCTCATGGTGGGCTTGTAAAATGATGGATTGCCGGTTACATGGTTGGCCACTTCAGCGTTATTTCAAGCTCGTTTTTTCCAAGCAGTTATTTTGTTTCAACTTTACGCAGCACCTAGCTACATTATTTTTCAGCTATTTCCTGGGCTCCCCAACCCCCAAATGCTATTGCCAAGCAGCTAGAACATATCCTGCCTCACAAATAGTAATGTTCACTTGCATTAATAGATATCACTTGGGTATTAAAAGGGCACTGGATGATCTCCCGGTAACCTCTTGCAGAACTTACAAAACCCCTATCCCCACTTCTCGTCTCTGTAAAAACACCAAAGAACATTGTAAACTTGTCCAGAGACGCTTAAATAAAGTAGCAACATTTGTTAGAGATGATTTCCAGCAAACACATCACATGAAGTAGTACATATCCACACAAAAAGCTAAAAGAAAAAAAGTTTTTCTAGACAATTGACAAAACTAAACCTGTATATTATCTGTTATATAATGTGTGACAAAAACAGATTCATAAAGTTTGCTTCCATTATAAGTGACCTATGGGTCACTGTCTTCATTTAGTTCCTGTGATGAGGCAGCGAAATTACCTGTCCGTTGAGATTCCTGGGCTAATTCTGGCACACGACCTGAAGATATCACTGTCACTGTTCTTCTGTGCACTGCAACTTTAATGGCTTCATTCCTGAACTAGATCGCATACCGGCAGCCTCTTGCTATATCTCATGAGTAAACATTACAGAGAATCATACTCTTCAGTCAAGAGTGGATTCATACATGTGGAGTAGATGAACTTATACATCAAATATTGTGTTGAATGTGAAGCGGATTCACTTGGTAAAAAAATATCAAACTTTATCTTTCCCAAAAAACCTGTTTTCAGTAATGGATGATTCATGATGTTTCTCCATGTGGTGAGGTTTTTTTTTTCGACAGGGGGAATCCATACTGTGTGCGTGTACTGGTGTGTTGGGAGGGGTTCAAATGAGTCATAGTTTAGTTCACTAAAACACTGAAATATTTCAACGTTTCCATGGTGATACAACCGAAAACAGCCGCCCTCTGTATGTCTGTGAGGGAGTTGCAGAATGTCTGTACACTTGCAGAAAGAAGAACAAAATAATGAACAGCCAGACCCCTCTGAGCCTTGGGGGGAATGTTTAACCAATCCTCCCTCATCTGTTCCTTTTCTCTTCAATCTCCACTGTTCTAGCTCAACTGTTAGCTTCATTTGCTGGCTATGTTGGTATGCACACACTACTTTGCAGGCTATAAAAAGTAAGGTAAAACAAAATTGATGATCAAAATGTAAACACGTTTTTAAAGACAGATTGTTATGCAAACCACTTCTGGATTGAGTTATAGGGCAAAAAGACTGCTGCATACGTTTTGGATCCAGCATTTCTCTGTACATCAAACTTAATTCTATATAATCTGTGGAGAACAGAGAGATGTGAAAGAGATCTGTTTATTCATGAACCCATGATTAGAGACTTACCAGACCTTGTTATGTATGGTTGATGAATATTGCAGAAAATAAGGCAGTATCTGGAAAACTGTGTGCATATGAAACATAGCAACTACCCAAAACAAGTTCAAACTAATCTGAAGACAAACAGCAAACACAAGGAGCCTAAAATGCCTCACAGGTAGGGCTAGCAATATGTAGTCAAAGTATTGGACAATATACAACAATGAACAGAGTGAGAAATTGAGGTAATTTACACAAAAGTTGACGAAACTATTTACTTAAAGGCACTGTTATGAACCTAAGGGTATAGCGCTCAAGAAGAAGCCAAGGGATCATCAATACAAAGGGTTGAATGCACCAAATGACCAAAAATGTAGACATGTCAATAGCATGACTAAATTATAAACTACATAACTAGTACTCCGTATATACTTGGAATTAACGGTCTGGCAAATGTACTATCATCATATCACCGATATAACAGGTAGTTAAATGAATGTACTAAAGTAGTATGGAACATGCATAGAACATATTATCGTCACCTAATGAAGTGTGAGGATAAAGCTGATTAAAAAACGTCCAAAAATCGTTATTGGCGCAGAAAGGCACCTTGCTCAAGAATATTTGAGGCTGTGATATTGAGCAATCACACAGTGAGCTGACAGCAGCATCACAGTAATGACAGTAGTATGACCTTTCTGTCAATGACCTGGGTGTAAGTGTATTTTAGTTTGTATTAAGGCAGGAAGTCCACACTGCCAGTTGGGATAAGCTGAGCTCTCTCGGACCAGTATTATCGTTCCCGACCTGCCTTTGTCCGGCCACACACACATTCTTTCTGCACCGACTGCTTATCTCTGTCTATTCCTCTAACAACAGCATAACATATTGAAACTACATTGAAAAAAAAAGACCAAAACATTTCTCAACTGCACTTCTCTGTTGTTATGCTCAGATACCTTGTTTAGCATGTAATTAAAAGTGCTAAAAATGAACTAAACTCTCCAAAAGTTACATTCCACAGCCCACTATTTATACAGTCAAGGCTGGGAGGGGTGGCAAGAGACATTGAAAGAGAAATGAGGACAGAGAGAGAATCAAGGCATGTAATAATAGTTTTAGAGAAAAGAGGGAGATGTTCCAGGTTGAAACTCAGATGTGAAATACAGAGGGGACTCAACAGAGACAGCTTTGTCTCACCAGCCTACGACTGGAATAGATGTCTGTCTCTTGGCAGTGAGTTCTGGTTGGAAAAGGGGTAGGGAAAGAGGAATGAACAGAAGTATAAAGCAAAGTAGTGAAAAATGCAACGAAAAAGAAAAAAGGAGGTTAAAAAAAGGAGCCTTCGACTCAACTGCACTCCAGTTTCCCCTGTCCAGACACGTTTTGCCCTTGGTGATAGGAGAGCCATTCACTGTCCCTAACACATTCCTCTGACCTGCCTTCATAGGAGGCCCAAAAAGACTGGGTAATAAGTTTATAAGAGCAGGAGGGAGGTGTCCATGTCATTCCCCTTCTTAAGGAAAGGGAGAAAGTAGAAGAAATACCGTTGAGACATGTCGCTAGTGAGAGATGAGGAGGACAGGAAACAGAACATGTGGGTTGAACCAGCTGAAAATCAAGCTGTAAGAGTTGGCTGTTGTCTGCTTTATGGTGCCTCTAGGGAACAATTTTGTCCAACAACCAGACGGCCTAGATAGACACTAGGGCTAAAGGAGGGTCATGGTCTTATAGCTGTAATTTCTACCCTTAAACAAAGCAATCTCCTCCAAACACTGCAGTTTGTGAATCTTAAAGTGACCACACCCTTTCAATCAAACAAACAGGCGTGTTATTCTGTTCCTGTAAATAAATGGCCATGTCAGTTAGACAAATTACATAACAGACCTATAATCCAAATCAATTCTGTGTAAATTGCCATTTTGTAAACTAAGTTGATTTGAAGCTGATGCTAAATACACTTTTGTATCATCTGTAGTGCTTTGAAAATAAAAATGTGATGGAGATAATAAAGAAAATGTACTTGAAGTGTCAACCCTGAATTAGTTTTTCTATCTGTGATACTGTGTATGTAAGAGGCCAGGGGGTGGGATCTCCATGTGTGTGCAACCCTGTCATAGATCAGCTTTTTGAACCATCCATCAAATGTTATGAGCCAATCAGTGTTTGCTTCTGCCCAGACACGTCAATGCTAGCCTAATGATGGTTCTTTCTTTAAGTTGACATGACCATTTTCTGGACATACATAAACAGATATAAGTCAACTTTATAAATGGTCCATTTCAGTTACCCTGGATCTTGTGCTTGTACTTAAAGATTAAAAACCGGTGTGAGAGAAAACTTCCAAATCCCTTTGTTGGTGTTCAGAGTGAGACTGTCTGCACAGTGGACAGTAAAGTATTTCCCAGAATCTCAGAGTGGTCTGAGCCAAAACACACTGGCTGTGTACAGAGCCATCTGGCTGGCAATTCATATACACACAAAGATACACACTCAGAGACTAATACACACTATTTACTCAAATAAAGGCCAGATATACTTGGGCTTTGATACACAATACTTGAATGAAAAGCAAACCTGACTACATGACTACAGTCTGTAATTGTTTCCTCTGCTTTACTCCTATTGTGCCCTCTGACATTTGAGTATTTTGCTATCTAGTTAAATATCTCTCTAACAATGGTCCATATATACGTTAGGGTTTGTTACTCCATAAAAATCCATCAGTTACGTTT